CCCAAGCTCCCCGAGGTGGTGTACCGGGAGCTGGAGCAGGACACCCCGGACGCCCCGCCTCGCCCCACCTCTTACTACAGGTATTGTCCACAGTCGGGGCGCGAGGAGCCTCCCGGGCAGCTCTGGCTCATGCCTGGGATCTGCAGGCGGAATTGGCCCTGCTCTTTGCAGGCAGCTTGTCCGTGGCTCATGGGAATGGCTCCTGTTTGCCACTCTGGGTCCCATGGAGCTGGCCACCCCATGGCTTCAGGCTCTCAGAGCTCTGTCTGGCATTGAACCCCAATTTTGAGGGGTCCATGTGCCTGCAGAGCACTTGGTTGCTGCTTGGGTCGATGCCGGCACTTGGATCACTGTGTTCTTTCCTGGCTGAGACAGCAGTGATAACAAAAAACCTCCTGTGCCCTCCTGCCCTCCCCACCGCTCTGTGAGGTGTTGTGGGACAGCTCTAGAGTCCCCAGCACCAAGGTTTACCCGTGAGACGTGTCTGTTTGTGGGCTTGACATGTCTTTGTGGTCCCACGGTTTTTCCATGAGTGGTTTGGGAAGGGCAATGGCCCAAAATAACACCTCAGGCAGGGAGTTAATAGTGAAGCAAAGTAAGGCTTGTGTGGCCACCCCGCCGTCCTAGTTGCCACATGCCCCAAGAAACCAGCACCGCATTCCAGGGACAGGATAACGAAGTTATTTTGTGTCAGGGTGTTAGAAAAGGAACCTCCCTCGGCGTGTCTGTGCTGCCCTCACTGCCATGGCGGGGGGTGGTTGCCATCAGCCGCTGGAACAGCAGCCTGGGGGCTCGAGCTCTTTCTGAAGAACATCCCCTCACCCACAGCTGGCAGTGAAGAGAGGGCACAGCTGCCCTGGCCAGAGCTAACGAAACGTGGTGCCTCCGTGCCCGGCTGCTGTAGTGTCTTGGCCATGAGGCCGCTGTCTCCAGAGCACCTGGCACCTGCTCTCTGGCTGGTGCAGGCTCCCATCTTGCCCTGCTGAGTCCCCAGGGCCCGTGCCGTGCCCGTTACACGAGGGTTGTTTCACCTGTGTCGCGCCCGACGCGCTGTTGTGCCGCTGTGCGGCTCAGGGCGCAGCAGCACCCGCCTCTGCTGCACCTTCCTGCCTTGCCCTTGGTTTTTATTTTGACTTCCAGCTTGGCTGTAGTGTTTAAATGTTCTCTAAGCCACGGCCTGCAGGACTTAGGGATCAGCAGCTCTGAGCCCCTGCTGGCTGTGCCCTCACCCTCCCGTGCTTTCCTTCCAGGTACATTGAGAAGTCGGCAGAGGAGCTGGATGAGGAGGTGGAGTACGACATGGACGAGGAAGATTACATCTGGCTGGACATCATGAACGAGCGGCGGAAGACTGAAGGCGTGAGCCCCATTCCCCAGGAGATCTTTGAGTACCTGATGGACAGGCTGGAGAAGGAGTCCTACTTCGAGAGCCACAACAAGGGGGATCCGAACGCCTTGGTGGATGAGGATGCTGTCTGCTGCATCTGCAACGACGGGGAGTGTCAGAACAGCAACGTCATCCTCTTCTGCGACATGTGCAACCTGGCCGTGCATCAGGAGTGCTACGGGGTGCCCTACATCCCCGAGGGACAGTGGCTCTGCAGACGGTGCCTGCAGTCGCCCTCACGAGCCGTGGACTGTGCCCTCTGCCCCAACAAGGGGGGGGCCTTCAAGCAGACGGACGATGGGCGCTGGGCACACGTGGTCTGTGCCCTCTGGATCCCGGAGGTTTGCTTTGCCAACACCGTCTTCCTGGAGCCCATCGACAGCATCGAGCACATCCCGCCCGCGCGCTGGAAGCTGACCTGTTACATCTGCAAGCAGCGTGGCTCGGGGGCTTGTATCCAGTGTCACAAAGCCAACTGCTACAACGCCTTCCATGTCACCTGCGCCCAGCAGGCCGGGCTGTACATGAAGATGGAGCCCGTCCGGGAGACGGGGGCCAACGGTACCTCCTTCAGCGTGCGCAAAACCGCCTACTGCGACATCCACACGCCGCCGGGCTCCGTGCGCAGGCTTCCCGCCCTCTCCCACAGCGAGGGGGAGGAGGAGGATGAAGAGGAGGAGGAGGAGGGGAAGGGATGGAGCTCTGAGAAAGTTAAAAAAGCGAAGGCCAAGTCTAGGATCAAGATGAAGAAGGCACGGAAGATCCTGGCGGAGAAGCGAGCTGCGGCGCCTGTGGTTTCTGTGCCCTGCATCCCCCCGCACAGGTACGACCCACCGCTCTCCCTTGGCCATGGAGAAACTTCTCCCTTTCCATGTGCCCCTTATCTCATTTCCCTCCATAGCCTTTCAAACAGGTACTTTTTGCTCTGCTCTTGCAGAGCGAGGTGGTGGTTTCCTCTGGGAGTGCTGCAGAGAGGCAGGACGATGCGCTGCTCCGCGAAGGTGTCTGGGCCCGCAGCGGGGCAGGAAATAGCTGCTGTTAGTTTAACGGCAGAGAAAGAACTTGGCCGGACGTGTCAGGAAGCAGCTGGGGGTTCCCAGAGCTCCTTTTCTGTTGTGCTGACCTCAGGCACCGGAGTAAACCGGGGAGGGAGGAGGGGGCTGATCTTTCTGCCGAGGTTTGTTTTCTCCCAGGGCTGTGCTGGGGAGAAGAGGGAAGTGTGGGAGCGATTCAGGCCTGGGAAACGGGCTGACCCCTGGGGTTGTTTTGGCTCTGGAGCGGAGAGGGCTGGTGCAGGGATCCCTGTGCCCTGCTGAGCACAGCTCACCCATCCCGGCAGCGCTGGCCCCTGGCTGCGCTTCCTCGGTGTTTCGTGCCAGTCGCAGGCAGCAGCTCTGCCCCGGTGCTGCCTGTCAGAGCGGGGCCGGGTGGCAAAGCCTCTGCACGGCTGCCTGCGAGGTGGCTGGAGGGGACCAGGGCTCCTGCCTGCCGAGGAGAATGACTGTCCTGAGGTTGGATTCACAGCACAAGGGCAGGGAAGGTGCTTGAGGCCTTGCCAGGGGTTGTGTTTCTGTCACACCCTGACCCTGAGGGCTCAGGGGAAGGTGCAAACACCCACAGTTAGAGGTGTAACTACTGTGTGTGTGTCTGTCTCTGGTCTGATTGTTGGGCTGGCGTGCACATCCTGAAACCAGAGTGTCGAGGAGCCCTGCCAGAGTTTGTCAGCATGGTTTGTAACTCTGGGTGTCCTCAGCATGTAGAAGCACCTTGGGGACAGTTTTGGACCTTGCTGTCACCCTGCAGCAGGCATCGCACAGTTGAAGCACAGGTTGAGCACAGCAGCGTTTGCCCTCATGGTTGTGAACCACCAGCCCTGAGCTGCTGAGCTCTCCTCCCCGCAGCAGGAGCTGTGCTGGGGTGACACCCCGTGACACCCCGGTGCCGTACCTGCCAGCCCATGGAGCCGGCTGTGACAGCGCAGGGACCTGGGACCGCTGCTTCCCTGCAGATCCTCAGGACTGTCTCCTGCATCGTTGGAGGGCAGCGCACAGAAGCTGTGGGCTTTGCTTTCTGGGCAGTGTTCTGTCTCTGCTACAAGGCTGCTGGCTTTGCCCATGGTCTGTTTGTGTCCTGCCCTTATGATTTTGCTCACTCGGGGCTTGCTCTGTAGCCAGAGCCTCTTTTCTTATGTGTGGACACGTTGGCAGGAGGTCTGTAGGCTCTTGCTGCTATCGTTGCGCTCGCAGCAAAACCCACACTGAGCGAGAAGCTGTTAACCTCTCCCCAGGCCTTCCTGTTGGGATTAATTATTCTTCAAGGGCTGTTGCCAGAATGCCACATGCCTTCCTGTGGGAGCTGTGCTTGGCTGCCGGGGGCACGTGAGGCTGCTCTCCTCAGCCTCTTCAGCTGAGGATGATGCAGGTCGGGTCATCCCCTGTGAAGAGCTGTCCCTGGGAGATGTGGAGATGCTGGGGGTTGGTCCCTTTGGCTCCTCACTAGCAGGGCACCTCTGTCAGGCTTTGCTGAACGAGGCTGTCCCAGCCCCTCTGGGCTTTCTGCTGTTGGAGACAGGAGGAAAATCCCTTTTGTGGTCTTTCGGGCTGTTCAGGGTGGTCTCTCATTAGCTCAGAGAAGAGCTCTGTTGTGCTCGTGTCTCCTGTTCCCTCCTCATGCTTTGCCAGGTTTGGTGAAGTTACAGGCTCACTGGGGCTGGAGTTCGTCTGGTGACATTTGGCCAGGGTGTTTGTCACCCTGAGTGGCCCTCAGCCGGGTAAATGGTGGTTTTGGGATAGCAATGCCATAACACTCAGGGTCCTGGGGGCTGTGGGAGCCGTTACAGGTCCGACCCCCAGTGCAGCTGTGTTGTACCCCAGCCTGCCTCAGGCTTTTGCCCAAAGCTGGCAGGAGGCAGAAAGGCAAAGTCTGTTTTGGAGCAGCAAGGCTGGATGTTTCCTGGCGTCCCCGTTGCGGCTGACTCAGGGGGGCGGCTGCTCTGCGTGACTTGGTGTTACAGAAATTCCTGCCATGGGAAAGGGTGTTCTCTGCCCGAGGAGCTTCTCAGCTGCTCTGGGGTGGCCTTGCTGCTCCATCCCCCCAGCCAGGGCTTCTCCTGCCACAGCCTTATTGCTGAGTTCTGTGGTTCCTCTCCCTTCCTCAGGCTCAGTAAGATTACAAACCGTTTAACCATCCAGAGGAAGAGCCAGTTCATGCAGAGGCTGCACAGCTACTGGACTCTGAAGAGACAGTCCCGGAACGGTGTCCCCCTGCTCCGCCGCCTCCAGACACACCTGCAGTCACAAAGAAACTGTGACCAGGTAAGGGCTGCTCGTTGGGGTGCTGCAGGGAATCCTGGCTGCACACACATGTGCTTCCTGCACCTTCAGAGCTGTGGGCTCAGAGCCTTTGCTGCATGCGGGGCTTGCAGGCGCAGGAGGGGGCCAGGGGTGCGAGGTCCTGGATGAGGAAAGGGCAGCCCCAGCTGGTTTTGCTGCTTCACCTTCTCCTCCACTCTCGGTGCTCAGAGATTTGCCAGGCAGTGATGGTGTTGGCAGCCTGCCACAGGAAGGGAATCCTGCCCTCTCATGCTGCCACGCACCAGTTAGCTCCTTCCTCGTGCCTGCGTTTAGCCGGTGGCGATGGCAAACCTGTCAGAAGTGGCTCTAGTCTGAGGCTGCTGTGTCAGCGAGTGCTGAGAGAGGTGGCCAGAGATCTCCAAAGCAGTCTGGAAGGAACCAAGGCCTCACTTCCAGTTTCTGAAACCGCTCCAGGAGCGCTCCCTGGGGGTGCTGCTTCCAGCCCACTGTCTGCCTCAGCCCTTAGTCAGCGCTTCACAGATGTGAAGTCTCTGGTGCCAGAGAGGAAGATTTTTCTGAGCTCTCAGTCTTTCTTTCTGAGCCCCTTGAAGACTGTGACTGGGCAGGGGTTTCTCCTGCCTTTGCCCCCTCTCATTTTTATTTGCTGGAGAAGAGTTGACACGGCTTCTGCTCATCTTTGGCCACAGCAGAATAAAAGTTGACATTTTTTGGTGCCCCAGAAGTGAAAGCAACCAGAGCCATGTTCCCTTTTTGTCCTGTTGCCCTTTGCTGGAGCTCTGAGCAGCAGCACAGACCCTGGCATTGTTGATCTGTGCTCTTGGGCAGCTGCAGGCAGTCAGTCATGTTATGAAGAGTATTTCCAGAGGCTCGGGATGTCTGCCTCCTGGCATCCTAAGGGCTTGGTGACCAAGGAGCAGGTAATCAGCTCTGGCCAGAGGTCAGACTGTTTCTCAGTCACTTGCCTAGGTTACAACAGGGGAACCAGGACCTTCGCTGCGGGTGAGCCATGTGGGTTCCCTTTGTCAGGGAAGAGCCCCAGCACACAGTCAGGAAGGTGGAGATCTTCTGATGAACAGATTTTCTGTCAGCTCATGGTCTCTGATGTTCCCGCAGAGAGACACTGAGGATAAGAACTGGGCCCTGAAGGAGCAGCTGAAGTCATGGCAGCGCCTCCGCCATGACCTTGAGGG